CCCGCTAGTACACGGTGGAATTAGTCCCAGGGATTAATCGCCCGGATACCCTGCGTTATAAAAAAAAAAAAAAAAAAAATTTGCTGAAATTTTGAGAACACCTTTATGTTATATCCATTACAAACTGACAAAAAGTTCAAGAAAGGACTCCATTGCCATTCTGTACTAAAAATGTCACCTAGATACCATCTATTTACAGAAAAAAGGATAAGTACTACTCTAGAAAGATGAGGGAGAGAGAGAGAGATCATAAAAGTGGATGCGTGCATCATGTGAAGCAACTCGAGTTCCTCTTTGAAGAAGTTTTATTCTTGTCTCCACAAACAAACAAGTTGAAATGTGACATTGCTCCTAGTTGTGATGCATTTTTAAAGCCAACCCACACTATTGAAATAACAAGTTTTTTGCTTTCTGCTTTCCGATCATCACTTTTGGCTATATATTGCCAACCACTACTGCTATCCACTGCATTTGGCCATCGATCACTACTGGTCACTTCTGAGGACCCTCTCCAACAACTCTAATAATTTGTTAACGAACTTATCACCCTCAAGTCACCCTTGTGACCAGTGGCAGACTCACATGGAAGCCAGGGGGGTCACATGTTCCCCGGGTTTTGGATTTATAATTTTTTTTACATATGTATATAAATAAAATTTTAAACAAAAATAATATTTAGAATAAAATATCAACGGTATTTTTAAATTTATGATAACAATACTGATTGTTTCATTAAAAAGGAAGGGATTACAACAAATAATATTTTTATGTGTAAAAATATTATGAAAAAATCTCAATATAAACATAATATCTATTATTATTGATATGTAAATATAATTAATCTCATATGTGTAAAAGTTATTATAATGTTAGTTATATTTGCATGTGAAGTTCATCTTTCTTATGTTACTTTTCTATTGGTTGGTAATATCATATATCAATGTGACATGATATCCCTATTATATAAAATTTTTACTCAAATTTTGTAAAAATTTAATTTATCTTATCATTATATAATTTATTTTAAGACTTAAATATATAACTTTTTTACATTGTCTATGATATACTAGTTATACGCAATATTTTCTTTTCAATTTTACTCAAAATTAATTTTAAAATTTTATATGAAATACTTTTGTAATAACTTATTTAAGTTTTTGTACTTAATGTTAATTCAAAAATTATTATTTTTTTTATTGTTGATTATGAAAAAAAAAAATTGTAGTTATAATTAATAAGTGTCCTTTCTAAAGTTTTCTCTTCCGCCACTGCTTATAACCTCCAGCCCAGCAACCCTCTCAAATGACCTTCAGGCCACCTTTCGGCGGCAATTTGACAACAATATAAACTCTAATTTTGGTGGCCACCTCTCGTCTCATCACTGAATACCATCTGTGACAACTCACTAAACTATTAGAAAATAAGAGAATTGAAGAAGAATATATCTGTTGTATTTCACTCTTATTAATCTTATTGCATTTGCCTACACATTATTCCATTACATAAATTGCATAGCTACATATATAAGATCTTAAAATAACTCTTGACATTTTAACATTAAAGATCATTCATCACAGTATTAAGACTATCTCTACGACAATACCATTCACACACTACTAAAGGCTAAACACCACTAATATGTGCCTGTTTGGTGCAGCAATAAGAGAATTGAAGAAGAATATATCTGTTGTATTTCACTCTTATTAATCTTATTGCATTTGCCTACACATTATTCCATTACATAAATTGCATAGCTACATATATAAGATCTTAAAATAACTCTTGACATTTTAACATTAAAGATCATTCATCACAGTATGAAGACTATCTCTACGACAATACCATTCACACACTACTAAAGGCTAAACACCACTAATATGTGCCTGTTTAGTGCAGCTTAAAAGCTGCTTATTTTAGCTTTCAGCTTAATTTAAGCTATTTTGATGTGTTTGGTTTAGCTTAACAATACAGTTTATAACTTTTTATAAGTCAGAAATCAGCTTATTCTTTGAGTGGGGCAGGAGATGCTTAATTTATAAGTCAGAAATCAGCTTATGTTCATAGTTATAAGCTATAAGCTGTTAAGGCATAAGCTATAAGTACTTTTCCACAGCTCTACCAAATAGGGCTTATATCCTACTAAATTCCTTTTAACACACTAACTTAATATAAAAAAAATACATATATAACTGCTAAAATATTAAAATACAAGTTTATTTTTCAACACAAACATCTTTCTTTATTTTTGCTTTTTTGCATATACCCAACAATTTTTTTATTTTATTTCTTGTTTTACAAGGGTATAGCCAAAATGATTTTAGCTCAAGAATTTGGCACACTTGAGTGCTTTTACATTAAAATAGTTATTTGACCCTAAATTATACAATGTAATTATTGTCAAACTTGTGACACTTCTAACATATATATATTTTTTCTCAAAACTTATCTTCAATTATGCTATTGCTACCCTATATTATTTTTGTTAGCCCAAATATTCCAGGACAGTAGTAGACAGTGGGGAGGCAAGCTCAAGGATTGTGTATCATAAACAATAATTAAACAAAAGATCCCACTTCACCCAGACTAGCTATATAAACCCACCAGAAAAGAAACACCCTCTATTATCAACTTCTGCACCAAGCTATTCCCTTTTTTACTTCCAACCAAACACAAGTTAAATGATCAATCAGTACCATACAAACCCCCCTTATATATCTTGTTGAGTTTGAATCAATCTCTCTCTCTCTGCTGACTTATACAATCAACATCTTTGAGATACATACAGTTTTTTTAATTTTTGTTTTGATTGAGGTGGTAAGCTAAAAGGGAAAGCAATATTGACGAGGTTCAATCTCAAGGTGAATTTATGTTTTGAACATAAAAGACAGTTTGGGATTGAGCCGCGCCAATATTACTTTTTAGTCTGGTTGTTACATGAGTTGTTCCTGATAAAAGTAGTGTTTGGTGTTTTTTTTTCTGTAGTTATATTGTGTATTATGTTGTAGAAACTGCCGAAAATGATTTTTGATTGACATTGCTTCTTACTTGTGTACAACATTTTTCAATAGCTGTCAAATATATATATATATATATAATCTTTTTGGCAGGTAGAAAGGCAGCCAATTACCTGGACCATATAGAGGTAGGTATGTATTGTTTGGCCCTTTTTTTATTTTTTATTATTTTTTTTATAAAAAAAAATTTGCATTCAACATGAGAACCAATTTTGGTTTTGTTTTTTTTTGTTTTTTTCCCCTATTTTTTTTAATTATTATTTTCTTTTTTTTGAAAAACATGTACAACAGTTGCAGGGTCTACAATAAGTATCAAATGAAGAGAAGAATCTTGTAAAATCTCATAGTTATTGTCTGATATTACATTTTGAAATCATTCAAACTTGTTCAGTATAAGGTTTTTACGGGGCCGGCTTAAACTTTCACAAGACCTAACGCAAAATTTTATTGCGCGACTTTTTATATTTTAAATTTAAATTTAAATAATATGTATTATTTTTAGTAAATTATAAATTGTAACATTCTTGTCTCTTCGGCTAAAATTTGAGAGTTATTTAAAATATTTAGCTATGGAAAAAAAAATTAAAAGTGTCAAAAGTTATCAAATAAATAAAACTTATAAATTCAGAGCGAAAACTAAAAAAGGTTTATAAAAACATATTTCAAATTGGTGAGAGGTTCTTTTAAAGTGAGTTTTTTTTTTAAATTATATATTATAAGCTTTTTAAAATTTATGGAGCTATTTTCAATGTAAACTTTTATTTATCATAATAATAATAATAAAAGGTGTGCATAAGACAAACATATACCAAATTGGTGAACGTTTTTATTAAAATTTTAAAACTTGTATTGTCCTCATGAGAGTATCTCTTCTTCTTTTTTTCCCTCTTTTTTCTTGTGTTGATTTTGTGGAAGTCTTTATCAAAATGGATCTTATGAGAAATAATTGAATTTTATTATGACTTATGGTTATATGTGAAAATTTTGGGGCCTTTTTGCAAATGAGGCCTAAAGCCATTGCATCAATTGCTTAAAACTTCAGCCGACATTTTTATGTGGCTATTGTAAATTAGTAATCTGTTTAATAATGTAATATTTGTTAATACTCTCCTATTGATTGATAAAAAACCAAAATCCATTCAAAAACATAAAATCATCAAAGAATCAATTTTAATATATATATATATATATATATCCCCTAGTGCCAAATAAAAGAATCAATTATAAAATAAATCATACCCCCTTTGTTATGTCAATTAGGAATTCATTAGGCCCTTTAGGGACAACTTTTAAAATTGTAAATTTTATTTATTTTACTATTAAGGGGTTATTTGGCATCCCTTATATTAATACACTTTTTTATCTTTTTATTTTTATTTTTTTGAACATATTACCTTTCTATTTTTTTTATATCTTTTTTTTAGATCAAAAGTCAAAAGTATTGCTTTCCCAAACAATTTATTTTAGATCAAAAGTCAAAAGTATTGCTTTCTAACTAGTGAACCTTTTTTAATTTTTAGTTAGCGTTTTTTTAATTTTTTAAAGTTTGCTAGATGCAATTCTAAAAATTTAAAAATTTAAGAGTTAAAACAATTAAAATGTTTGGCTTTGTTAATTTTTTTTAAAACAATTGATTTTTTTTAAGAGTTAAAAAACTAAAATGTGTTTGACAATTTGTTAAACTTTTTTTATTTTTTATTTTTATGAATGAAAATTTTATGTAATATTAACTTTTTAGTTAATGACAAATGAACTTATTAATTTTTAATTATTATTTTTTAGATTTTTTTTTAGAGTTCCAAATAACCCCTAGTGCGGTTGACGCTATTGAATTTTTTTTGGATTAATTATCTAAAAGTCCTATTCATCAATATTATGGTAACTTAGGTCATGTGCAAGATTTTTAAGCCAACAAGTTATATTTTGAGATATAAAGACGTTTTTTCTCTTTTGTCCTTTGATTTGATTCGATTATTCAGTAAAATTGATAATATTATCAATTTTTTTAGTTTTAAAAGTGAGAATATTATCATTTTTGCACAGCAATATTTCAGATAATTATTTTGCTAACTAAGAGAGAGAGAAAAAAAACAGAGTATGAGATTAAATGTTTTTGCCCTTTGATCTTTGGTTTGATTTGATTATCCAATAAAAGTTGAGAACACTATCAGTTTTTCTCAGTTTAAAAACTAAGAACACTGAGAAGGAAAAAAAAAATTAGAGCATGAGATTAAATAGGTGATTTCATTCTCATGAACTCTATATCTAAGAACAATGATATCAAAATCAATGTTGAAATTGAAATCAAAATAAAAAATAAGAGTTTCGAAACTGAAAAGATTCCTTTAAAAATTAGGATATAAAATAATTGAATATAAAAAGTCTCGAATCATTGAGTCGATCTATAACACGTCAATCATAGTTTTGCAAACCTCAGAGTATCAAGAAACGAAGTAATCTTCAAGAGCTCGTCGAAGACTACTTGCAACGAGAGCTCTTATTTTCACTATTTCACTTCTTCAAATTTGAAAAATATTTCAACTGAATCGATATTTGATGATAGTAGATAATCTTCTAACTTTGTTGCTCTGAAATTTCTAAACGACAAAAGTAAAAAAATCTAAAATTTGTAGAGATAAAGAGAGGAACAAAAAGAGAGAGAGAGATGGGTAGAGGAGTGTTTTGTGTATTTGAATTTGTAAGGATAAATTAATCACATAAAATTAACAAAAGATTTATAAGTTTAAATATAAGTTTAAAATTTTATAACAGGATCAAAGCTATCCTTCTTCTTTTTTTTATTTATTTATTTATTTTTATTTTTTTTGGATGCAGCAAAAGCTGTCGTTGTTTTGTCACTAACAAATTTTCAATTTTTTTCTCCTCAAAAGCGTATTATTGACCACCAAAAAATTTCAAAGCCGTTTCAAACGGGGAGACCCCGTACAGATTGGCCAAAAAATACTCGCATCTAGAAGTACCCGCTGAAAATCAGATGCCACGTGTAAATTTTTTCCAGATGTCATCCCATGTAAGCGAGTAAAAATGGCTGAGAGTATATAATAAAATTCACACTCTCACACAGACATTCGTGTCCTTGGTAACGGTCTCCACTTTCAAAGCAAAACCCAGTGCGCAGATCAAAAACCAGAAAAATGTTTCTCACTCTCTCTCTCTCTCTCTGAAGCAACAAGGGAACAACTAACTAGGGTTTTGATTGTGAAAAGAAAGTGAGAAAATGGTGAAGATTATGCCAGGTATTGAGCAGGAAGATCAAAGCTTTAGGGTGTTGGATCAGTTGTCTCTTAACAATCTTCTGAGTCTGTCATATCACAGGCTTCCTCAACAGCTCCTCAATCTCTCTATTCTCAAATTGGATGGCTCTTCCTTTGGTAATCAAAATGTGATTTTTTTTTATTGCTTTTGTTGTTGTTATTGTTATCATTATTTGGGTGTGGATTCGATTTTGATTTTGATTTTGATTGTGTAGAAGTTAATGTTGCGAGAAATGCCACGATAGCGGATCTTAAGCAGGCGGTGGAGGAAATTTTTAGTTTGTCGCAAAAGGATTGTGAAGGCAAGATTTCATGGTATGGTTTACAAATATGTAGAACAATTTGTTGTCTCAATAATTGTACAATAGGTGCAAAGATGGACCTAGAAGGGGGCAAGAGGGGGCGATCGCCCCCCTACGATTTCAAAAACAGCCTTTATTATAGTAGTATTAACTACAATTAATTACAAATCATAGATAATCAGTTTTTCTTATTTTACAAATATATGTGGAACAATTTGTGTATATGTTTATGTAGGTACATGTTAACAATCAATTGGTTCCCTATTTGGGTTGGGCTAAGCCTCCGTTTGGGAAGTGGGTTGGCTTTTTGGCTTTTTGGCTATTTTAGCCTGGGCTATTTTAGCCTAGTTTGGGATTTTTAGTTTGTCGCAAAAGGATTGTGAAGGCAAGATTTCATGGTATGGTTTACAAATATGTAGAACAATTTGTTGTCTCAATAATTGTACAATAGGTGCAAAGATGGACCTAGAAGGGGGCAAGCGGGGGCGATCGCCCCCCTCCGATTTCAAAAACAGCCTTTATTATAGTAGTATTAGCTACAATTAATTACAAATCATAGATACTCAGTTTTTCTTATTTTACAAACATATGTGGAACAATTTGTGTATATGTTTATGTAGGTACATGTTAACAATCAATTGGTTCCCTATTTGGGTTGGGCTAAATAAGCTACCTTTTTGGCTAAATAAACCAAGAGAAATGCTAAAGGACCCGCAATTTAGATTTCAAAATTCACCCACAATGATGTGACAGGGGAATTGGCCTTATATAACACAGTGCGTGACAAATCAAAAGTTGACACTTAACATGCTACATCATTGTGGGTCAGTGAGAACATTTTTTCGGGTCTCCAACATTTTCCATAAAGCAAAAAGCAAAATAAAAATTTGTTTTTGGCTATAATAATAATAAAAAAAAAGAAGCTAAAAAAAGCCAAATTTCCCACTAACGAACAAAAAAAAAAAACAAAAAAATGAATGATTATGCGTCTAAATTTTTCTATTTGACGATGTTACATTTTTTATTCCTCCCATATGAATTGAATCTATCAATAAAGTTTTCCATAGTGTTTATCATTTTAATATTTTATTGTTATTATTGCCTGAAATTTCATTGAAAATGGATTTCAAGAAAAAAAATATTATATGGGGGGAGAACAAATTCAATCAAGATATGGGACATCCAAATACTACTGATTGATTTTTTTAAGAATGGTGCTTTTATCTGGAAAATTTTCTGGTATTACACCACTAATTATACCACCTTTGAACTTGATGTGGGTAGGTCACATGTATGGGGACACTTCTGTTTGTGCTATGAAGGTCAGAAGCTTATCAATGACAAGGTTTATATTCGAAACTTTGGGATCAAAGATGGTGATCAGGTTAGCTTTACATACTAGTCATATTTATGTTGCTTTTGTGTACTTTGTTTATTTGTGATTTGTGATTAGGAGGTCATTTTTCTTGTCTTATTTGACTTAAAACACTTCCTAATCTCTTATGGTTGGACATTACGACATTAGCAACAACTTGGGGCCTATCACTAGTGGGCCTTTTTCTGCAAGTTTCTAAATGCTAGGTATGACAGCATCTCCAATGGTCGTGCCATTGGTCATGCCAAAGGCAAAAAATGGCTAGCCTTCACAAAATTGGTGCTCTAATAGTGTGCCATTGCTCTAGCTAAAAAATGGCAAAGCCAAACCCTAAGCCAAGCCCATGAAGCCCGCGCCTCGCGCCTCAAAAAAAAGCCCTCGCCTCAGCGCCTAAGCTGCGCCTCGCCTCTTGCGCCTCGCCTCAACCTGTTCGAGGCGCAAGGCTGCGCCTCACTGCGCCTCAAGCTTAGGCGCGCGCCTAAGCGCGCTTTTTAAAACACTGGGTTGGGTTAAAATCATCCCAATTTTCATGACTTTAACACAGAATAGTTGAATTTGGCTAATACTTTGGCCAAAAAGGCAAGTATCCATTGGAGTGACATAGCCAAAAATTGGTTTTAGTGCACTGTAGCAAGCCATTTGGCTTTGACCATTGGAGATGCTCTGATATAAGTCATAACGTAATTGTTCACTGAACAGGTAGTAATGCATATTTTTCATTTCTATGTTGAAAGTGATTGAATTATATATTGTAAAAGATGAATTTGATTTCAGCTAAAGCAGAGAATTTTTAAGCGCACTATTTTTATGCAATCAAATTCAACTCCTTCAAGCTCTGCTTTCTGGGCCACGTCTCCTGTTAAAAAAAATTCATGAGGGTTTTCCTCATCGCTTCCAAAGCCTGACTTGTAAAGGAAATATAATTTAAAAATATGTAAAAGGTTTTTGGGCAAAACCAAAACTGAAATAAATTGACAAAATAACGGAACAAAACTTACAGTACATAAATAAGGCCTAGTTTGGAAAGACGAAATAAGTGCACTTTTTGACTTTTTTTGTATTATGTGTAGAAAAAGTAGAGAGGAGATGTTGATTGATGTGACCCAAAAAAGATAAAAAGATGAAATAAGTGCACTTTTTTCTTTGTAGCCAAACTTGGCCTAAATATAATGTGGTAGGTTAACGGGGGAAACTGAAATAAATTGACAAAAATAACGGAACAAAACTTACAGTACATAAATAAGGCCTAGTTTGGAAAGACTAAATAAGTGCACTTTTTGACTTTTTTTGTATTATGTGTAGAAAAAGTAGAGAGGAGATGTTGATTGATGTAACCCAAAAAAGATAAAAAGATGAAATAAGTGCACTTTTTTCTTTGTAGCCAAACTTGGCCTAAATAAAACCTAATCGAGTCGAGTGTGTGACACTCTTTCCTTAAGACAGATTCATCCTCTCACCAGTGCGTAGGATTTAATGGACATCTATCTCCCAGGATACAACGATCAATATCTTACACTAGCAGCACTACTATTGCAAGCCTAGCGAACTTCGTTGTGCATGTACTCTCTTAATAGAAAAATTAGACTCAGGAAATATGAAGAATAATGCAAAGTGAAGAACTCTCTTAATAGAAAAATTAGACTCAGGAAATATGAAGAATAATGCAAAGTGAAGAAGAAAATGACAAATCACCATCCAAAATGAAGTGGGGGAGATGGAATATATAGACATCTATGTGACTCTTCAGAAAGGTTGTAATCCTTCAAAAGGACACACCCTTTCATCTCAAAAGACACAACCATTGGAGTAAATTTTAATTCAAATTTTCCAACAATCCCCCATATGAATGAAATTTACGGAAAAGACATGCAACAACATGCAGACAAAAAGATAGTACATTTAAGGAAATATCCTGCATCGGGATAGGTAGCTTTCGGTTTTGAACCTTTCCTAGTGAAAGTCTATCGGACTTACTAGCTAATCAGTGGACGTGATGCCTTAAACTGTTCAGCCATTTGTGTAAGCCAAGACAATAGAATTTACATAGAATATCTCCAGACACAGTTTAGTTCTCACGGTTGTGCCCGTTTTGGCCTTGGGCAGGTCCTGGTGTTTCATGAGTGCTTTAGAAAATTTTGCCTTATCAATTCTCATAGAAGCAGCCCCTTCGCACTCATATAGGTGATCCTTATTTCGAGTCTCTTAAATACTCCTCTTAAAAGATACCCCTCTAGGGTTTTCAAGATATAAGTGATCATTAAAAGCATAGCTTACCCTAAGTCCCCTATATACAACACATGTTGTAGATATCACTCTCATCATAGGAATGGATAGGAGATAGACTCCTTCAGTGATTTCTGGCGAGCCACACATAACTTAGTTGTCCCTTTGAATTTAGTTCTTGGGATCTCCAGTCATCTAAGTAGGGTTACCATAATGATGACTCTGATGTATTAGGCTTTAATCACATTCCCCTCGATGAACTTCCCCTCATTGGCTCTCTGGTCAAACTTTTTATTTAGCAGTCGCTATTTTTTCGTTTGACCTTCTCAATTATATATCATTAATGGATCCATTATATTATTCTTAGACAATATTCACAACAGAAAGCAAATGTCCTACGGTATTAAGTCTTTGATTACATCGAGACTTACTGTTACTCTATGTCACTCTCATTTTCAAATTTAAAATAATAATCATAGAGTTGTTCTTTAAGAGTTAATGAAACCATTTTTGCTTCTACTCCAACTTTGTCCTATAGAAAGAATTGAGATTCTTTGTGGACCTACAATCGAAACCGTTATTTTGGTAAAATACTCCAAGCACCCCCACATTTTAAGCATTCCAAGAAAGCTTAATTTCTCTTGCTAGTGTATAATTACACAAAAATATTAATACACCCACACAATTCTGAGGTAAATCAGAATATATCATTAATTGGCGTGTTTGAACTAAATAACAAGATGTAAACTGTTTTGTGAATATAATCACAATACTAATTTGTCTAAAAAATAATTAGACTTTATAACTTGCTTTTGCAGTACAAAAAAGAAATGACTAATACCGGTTGTGACCACAACACTTTGTCAAATAACATTTCTTTAGTCATGATAAATTTCTTTTTGTTTACTGCAACCCTTAATTCCAATCTCAACATGGAATATAAATATCACTGTATAAATACATTTACATCTTATTTGTCATCCAGTATTGTTGACTATATCGACAATTACCAAAGTGTCTTTCGCCCATGAAATATTTTAACTCATATAATATTTCATTATGGAGTTATCAATCACAATACCAATTTTAGTCATTATTCCAAAGAATAATCATAATTCCTTTTATGTCAAAACACATAAGTTCAAATTTTTATCAATGCTTTGATAAATAATTGACATCTATTATAATACACCACATACCAAATTGATATCAATGACATCATAAATTGTCAACTCTACAGCATATGTAGACATGGACAAGATTGATATCAATGACATCATAAATTGTCAACTCTACAGCATATGTAGACATGGACAAGATTAACAAATCAAACATAATCATAATTGTCCAATTAATCTCTCTCCCCCACATTTGTGATAATATATAAATTAGCACAAACAACATGATTCATTTCCAGACAAGTGAAATAAAGACAGAAGACATCCTATTTCACAAAAATTCCAAGTTACTTTAAAAATAACTTTCAATTGATTATTAACAAATAACAATCAACACAAAAGATTCCTCAATCTATTTTCAATTAAATGGAACAACACCATTATTTAAAATATCATGTTTAAATTTTTCAGTGTTAATGATTGCTTTGATGTTACAAGAATTTTACTGCCACAATCAAATTACACAGATAATATTTCAAAAGAGATCCATTGATATGTCATCATCACAATCAGAAATTAATTAAAATTTAACAAACTTTTAAACAAAATTTTATTTAAATCCCAGACTTCGCACTGAAAATAAATCAGTCAAAAAATAAATAAATAAAAATTAACACACATATCACACAATTTTCGATAATAATTTCATGACTACATGATGTCCACAAGTCGTCAAAATCAAAATACTATATATGTTTGATATCTCTGAATAGTGATTGACTTTCTCAGAACAGCCACTTATCAAACAAAAAGGTTAGTTACATATGTCATAAAACTCATTCTAAATTAATTAAAACACCCATGTAAGTGACATCAATAATAGTCATCAACAAATTATTGATACATGATTATCTTGAGGGATGCTAGGCACCATCTCCAAAAGTTGCTGACTTTTATACCAGCATCTTTAGTGATTTGTGAACAATTTTTCCATCCTTTCAAGAGCATTTTTTTTTTTTTTTTCAATATGGAAGTAAAAATATATCTTGTCAAGATCTTTAGAACATCATGTTGACTTGTTTACAAATACCTTCCGTCAAGGAACAGATCTATATAATGCGGAACCAGCCCTTTCAAGTCAAAGTATTTTGCACTAACGAAAGTTTTATATATGTTCTGCAGTAAAGAAATTACAGTTAACATCCAACACAAGGCCCATAGCATAGAGATATAGATAGACGGTGTTTTCAACATAGACTTCACGCATTATTTAAGCAATCAACAAGTAACAACAAGAATCTAGAGGAAACCATTAAAAATGCATATCCATAAACATACACAAAGTCTATCAGAACAAATCTGGTTATAAGCATCAGCCTAAAATTTGTCTTAAAGAACTAGGTAGATAAAACAATAGCAGTTTTTTGTTTGCCTTTAAAAAAAAACAAAGTACCACAAAAGGCACAACTCTTGAAACCATAAAACAGTTATTAAAATTTGAAAGTTGTGATTGGTTTCTCCGTTTCTAACGACGGATTCAAAGGCATTAACACATCGGCCAAATTACATTGACCCACCAAAAATCAAAAACTAAATCAATTATAGCATACAAAATGTAATGAAGAGAGAGACAAAGAAGTGGTGGACCCAATCTCCGAGTCGGCGTTC